TGGTTCTGAACTCAATATCCTCCATTGACAGTTTTGTCCTGTTTCTTTGTCTCCGCATTTTTTATGCTTTCTTGGTGCACCCCCTAGTGGTCTTTGTGCGCAGTCTTGTTGTAGTTAAGCCTTGATTGTTGTAGTTAATACTAGGGGGATTTGACCTCCAGGCCAACTGGCTGTGAGAATCAGCTGTCCTGGGCATGTCTTGACCTAGAATTGAACCGGCCATCTTTCTGTGCACAGGATGATGCACAAGCAACTGAGCCAGGGCTCATAGCTCTTTAATGATCTGACAAAAATCCAAGACAAAAAATTTGTGTATCCGGAGAAATTACTAAACTACCCCTTTAGGAAAGTTTCCACAATTATTTCTCCCATCTAATTGTTTGGACCGATACTTTTCCACTATCCATTTCAGAAATTCAGGTTTACATTGTATCTAGGACTAACGTTTCCCATTTCCTCTACAAAAAAACAAAGTGGGAAGAAAAAAAAGAATAAGAGATTGAGTTCTTATACCTAAAAATTTATTATAAAAAAGAGTAAATAAAAAAGCAACTCTTTAGCTGAAACCGGTTTGGCTCAGTGGATAGAGCGTCGGCCTGTGGACTGAAAGGTCCCGGGTTCGATTCCGGTCAAGGGCATGTACCTGGGTTGCGGGCACATCCCCAGTAGGAGATGTGCAGGAGGCAGCTGATCGATGTTTCTCTCTCATCGATGTTTCTAACTCTTTCTCTCTCCCTTCCTCTCTGTAAAAAAATCAATAAAAAAATTAAAAAAACAACAACTTTATTTAAAAGCAACTCTTTAGATGTCTCCCATGTAGGCAAAAGTCTATTTCTTATACTTGCAATATCAAAATATTCTTCACAGCATGCATATAAGAAAAAAAGATGGATTTTTCCAGTTTTCCAGTTGGCCCTCCATATCTGTGGATTCCACATCTGCATTCAACCAACTTCACAGTCAACCAACTGCAGATCCAAAATATTCAACAAAAATATTTATGTTGTTGCTGACTTAGCTAGGCCTAGAATGGGTTGCATCTATACTGAGTATGTACAGACTTATTTTTTGCCAGGAGCCAGTCCATCCTTGCTGTTTCAAGGGACCTGGCATATATGGCATACTGTTCTTAATATGTTTGCTCACCTTCTTGGCACTGTGTTTTAACCAAGGTCACCTCTCCGAGAAAGGTTGTTTCCCCATGTAGGGATTTTCCCCTGAAGTTAGGGAGGGAATAAAACCTCTTAACTAAGTGCCAGGCACAGATGTAACAAGACAACAGGACACAGAACCTAGAGACAGAACCTAGTGAGAGAACCTAGAACCAGAACTTGGCTAGAAGACCTAGACAGAACTTGGCTGGAGATGCTGGCTACAGAACCTGGCTGAAGAACCTAGCAAGAGAACGTGGCTAGAGAACCTGGACAGAACCTGGCGACTGAACCTGCCTGGAGAACCTAGCAAGAGAACATGGACACAGAACCTGGCTGGAGATCCTAACCAGAACTTCACTGGAGATCCAGACCAGAACTTGCCTGGAGATTGTGGCTAGAGATCCTGGCAAGGCTGCTGATCAACTGAATGCTGTCTCCGTGTCATTCCTTCTTCGCCGACTCCGTCCACACCTTTGGGAACCCCTGGACCTGCTGGGGTTGGACCCCAGCAATTTTTCTTGTCATTACTCCCTAAACAACACAGTATAGCAACTATTTACTTAGCATTTACCACGTATTAGGAATTATAAGTAATCTAGAGATGATTTAAAGTATGATGGAGGATATGCATAGATTATATGTAAACACTAAGCCATTTTATATAGGGGCTTGAGCTTCCTCAGATTTTGGTACCGACATGGGGTCCTGGAACCAATCCCCACAGATACCAAGGGATGACCGTACTATGTTTTTATGGAAGAAAATATAAGCTGTAGTGAAAACTTCTAGTTTTGGTTAAGTAAACATTAAGAAAAGGACACAACAAAAATAATATAAAATAACTTTTATTTACATAATTTATATCTGTAGAACATAATTGCTTTCTTTAAAACAAGAAAATTTACAAATGACAGATATTGCTTTTTTGTCAAAGACTTCTTCAAGCAAGATAGTATGTATACATGGTCACTTCTATTTCAACTAATATAGTGGTAAACAGTAGATATATTTTTATTTGTGCCTCAATCATTTACCAACAAATTAGTTTTTTAATCCATCATGTTCACCATTTGCTAAGATGTAAGTGTTCAGGAGGAAAAAAATCAAGAAAAAATAAAGACCGTTATAATCATAACTCTTTTAAGATTCATAAAATACAAATTCTTCCCAACATCATCTTTACATGAATTAGATTAAATACAGGTATGAACACGTCTTTCCACCTTAAAAGGTAAATAAATACACTGATTAAGATTCTCTTTCTCCAAGATTAGTTTTAAGGATATAATAGCAGGGTAATTTAGCTGGGTGACTTGATTCTCTATTATAATAAATGCCCAAAAGATAAAATTAATCTTTATACAGTAAGAAGTTAAATCTTTCATAAAATTAATTCACTGCAGATGAACAAGATACAGACATTAACAAAGTTAAAACATAAATGTTATATAAGAGATAAAATAATAGTTTGATTGTGGCAACCTAACACCCAAATTAATATTAATCAAATGATAAAAATCTTTCAGAATGAGATTTTAAAAAATTTATAAAAACAAGGCATTAAAATAGCAATGTGATTTATTACCATGATTCTTGTGATCACATGAAATAAATAAATGCATACCTACAGAGAATTCCCACTCATATTTATAGATCCTCCTTTATGAAAAAAAGTTAAACTATAAGTTTCACTATAATAAAATGAAGAAATGCTCTAATATCAATTGTTTTAATTAATTAGGATTACTGTTGTACTTCCTCCTGAGCCATATCCTATTTTACTAATGAACTTGAAAACTGTCCTCCGTTTTTTTCAATATACAAACACAATTATCTAGACATTAAAATATCTTCCCATGAAATACTGATCATCCCATAACGCAATCAATACTTTAGTTAGGCACAACTTATAACTTCAATGACAAAAATATCTCATAGCTAAAGACATCAGCACCTTAAGGTAAGAAAATTACTGTCTCACACAGAGGGTCAAACTAAAATCGCAATCCAGCTATGTCCATCATTTACGTATTGTCTGTGGCTATTTTCAACTGAAATGGCAGAATTGAGTAGTTGCCACAGAGGCCATCTGGCCCAAATAAACTCAAAACTATTTTGTGAAAACATGTTTCTGACTCCTGACTAATTTTTTATCAACTCAGGGTAAATCTGCATTTTGAGAAGCTTAATTGAACTACACTGAAGATTTACTTGGGTGAATAATAGAATTACATATGTAAATCACAAAATTGAAAACTCAAGTTCATATTGATAATCCCTGACTTAATAGTCTTATTTTCTGTTTTTAATATCACAATTATGTTCTGTACTTAAAGGCCTAAATATTCCTTAAGCAGAATTTAATGGGGGGAAAACTATTAAATTATTTTTCTTTAAAAAGGAATGTGTGTGTGTGTGTGTGTGTGTGTGTAAAGGAGATTGACTTTTGTATGGAAATTTGCCTCATAAATGACGGTAAGGTATTTTCTTTTCCATACAAATCCTGAGATTATCCAAGAAATAAGAAAAACAAAACATTCACAGTACAAAGTCAATATACTAAAACTATGAGAAAAAAATGTATTCAAAACATATACACTATCCAAATACTTTGTTATATCACTTTAAATATCTTTAAAATTAAAGAAGGAAAGGAGACAAATTGTTAATGCCTTCTTTACCCATATTCTGAAGAGTGAAAATAATTAAAACTGAATATCCTTTTAAATAAAATTTTTAAAAATAAATAAGCTTTTGATGTTTCATCTTTATAAATAATAAGTTTAAATACTAGTTCTTCAATTAGGACTAATGTTAACATGAATTAGAAAAATACATATTTTTCAGTCAGTCAAATAGCTGATAATAGAAAAGTTTTTAACAATTGACTGTCATATACTTAGAGGCAACTGAAAAGGCCTAATCACCCAAAGAAAAATCCAAACAGAAAGAACCTTCACAAAAGTAGTTTGCTAAGTGTTAATTATAACCCACCTCCAAGTACATCAGCACTGGGATTTATACAGATGTTTATCGGTGAACAACATTCCAAAATGTCCATGTGTTTTCAGTACATGAAGAGTCAAAATGTAAACAAGAGGTACTATTTCTGTCTGAAAAAGCAGTCTTAATTGCTTGGTAATTCCAAAATGCTGAATCAGTCAGAATAGAAGGAACCTTAGCAATGTTTCCCACTGATTATGAAAACTTCAAATCAAGCTCATTAAATACTCAAAATCAGCATACAGAAAAACAAACATGATGCTTTTTTAAGTCTGGAAATCCCAGACTTAAAAAAAAACAACTTTCATTCTGTTTTATCCACTTCAATAAAAATATCACTAAAGAAATATTCAGAGACTGTGGTTGGCTCTTCTTCAAGTGCCTGGTTTTGGACACTTTTACATTCTTCTTTTGGTAAGGAACGATCACAAGAAACCTAAAAAGATAATAAAAATAAGTATGCAATATAACATTTTTATATTGTAATGGCAGTCTAAATTGATATCTGTTTGAAAAGCAATCTAACATAAACATATGCTCATTGATCTAATAATTTCATTTCTGTGCAATTACATTAAGAAAATAATCCTAAACACAGTAAGAGTTTTGTGAATAAGACAGCATTAGTTATAATAAAATAGCATGACATGATTAGGTTAATTGTAGTGTATCCATGATCCCTTACATCAAGCTAATTTCCATGAAAAAAATTTTAACAATAGAAAAACATAACATTAAATCTACAATGACAGTATCTTTTTTCTTTATTAAGGTATTACATGTGTCCTTATCCCCCCATGACACCCCCCCCGCCAACCCCGCTCATGCCCTCACTCCCTAGTGTCTGTGTCCATTGGTTAGGCTTATATGCATGCATACAAGTCCTTTGGTTGATCTCTCCCCCTTACCCACGCCCTCCCCTACCTTC